TATAATAGAGGAACAATAATAACAATATGGATTAGAAAAAAAAAGCTTTCCCAAAAACTCAAGGAAAAGGGAAATCAACCGAGTTCTTGAAGCCTTACTAACTGGCTCCTTGGCGGCTGAGCACTTATGAAGCCATTTATATGAAGAAGAAAAAAAAATACACAAAAGAAACAACAACGGAAAGTGTGATTACATGGCACCATTCGCTTAAATATATTGAGAAAAAAATAAAGTGCTGTCATACTTGGATCTTTCATATTTTCTGTTCCTCTATAAAGCTTTCATCTAGTAAAAAAAATAATATTCCAGAATCAATTACAGAGAGGAGGAGGAGGGGAAAAAAAAATAAATAAATAAAAAAATAAAATAAAATAAAATAAAAATTGGATATACAGCCTTGCCACTGCCACATTATTTTCAAATAAAAACTGACTTTTAACAACAGTATACTAAACTTTTAGTCTAAAAAGTACTGAAATCTTTTGTCTTGATTTTTTAAGAGAAAACAAATAACAAAAAAATGCAATAAATAAATATATGTATATGTATATATAAATGTCTATATGTGTATGTGTATATATGAATGAGGAAAACACTCTACTGTGTACAGCTTCGGAATCCAGGTGGATTCCGAAACTGTCGTCTCACTTTCATTTTCAATAAATCTAGTTTTTACATTGTGGGTTTTTCTACCATAGTATTAACACAGTAGAGTGTTTTCCACATTCATATATATATATATATATATATATATATATATATATATATATATATATATATATATATATATATATATATATATATATATATATGTATGTATGTATATATATATGTATGTATATATATATATATATATATATATATATATATATATATATATATATATATATATATATATATATATATATATATATATATATATATGTATGTATGTATATATATATGTATATATATATGTATATATATATATATATATATATATATATATATATATATATATATATATATATATATATATATATATATATATATATATATATAAAATCGCTATCATGACAATAATACTATATTCGAAGTTACTCTAGACAATGCTGATAGGTTATTAGTTCTACTGATTTCTGTTGGAATTATAATAATAATAATAATTTTGATAATAAAAGGTACACCAAAAAGCACAGTAAAAATAAATGATACAAACTTTCAACTTTGACTGCAACTTCTTTGTTGTCTTTTTAGGAGGCGAGTCAACATCCATCTTTTCTGACTCTTCATCTTTGATAGAGTCTTGAGATTCAGTCTTGATCGGAGAAGAGACGGTGGACTCTGTCTTGACTGGTGACACCACCTCAGACTTTATCGAAGGGGATTCAGAGTCTGTGGGAGAAGTATCAGATGTTTTGGAAGACTCGGTTTTCTTTGTGGCTGGAGCGGCCTTGCTGAAGAATGAAGATATTCCACCCTTCTTCTTACCACCAGAAGACGGGGTAGTTTTTGCTGTGTCCTGGGGAAAGACAATTCTTAGTGCTGACGGAACTACTGTTTTGAAATTTGTTTATCTAATACAATGACTCTCTTTTCAATTCCAAAAATACAGTGAATGTTGTACTTATGGAATTTACATTTATCAACAAAATACTGTTCTAATCATTACAATCAACTTGCATTTGCAAATCCTATGCAAGAAAGTAATGTGAATATATTTATTATTCATGGCCCTGTAAACTAGAAACCAAAATATTTCAGGAGGAGGAGGAGGAGGAGGAGGAGGAGGAGGAGGAGGAGGAGGAGGAGGAGGAGGAGGAGGAAGAGGAAGAGGAAGAGGAAGAGGAAGAGGAAGAGGAAGAGGAAGAGGAAGAGGAAGCAACAGCCATGGATGCAGTCAACTATTAAAAGGAGGAGGAAAATGAGAAGGGAAAGGAAAGACAGGAGGAAGAGAAGGAAAAAAGAGGAAAACAGAAGAAGAAGAAGAAGAAGAAGACAGGAGTAAGCAGAAAAGAGAGGGACAAATAGAAATCAAAGAGGAAAAAGGGGGAAAAAAAAGAAGTCGAAGTATGCTCTGCTTACTTTTACAGATTTGTTCTCAGCCTCCTTTGTTCCTTCCTGTTTTTCTTCTTTGACCTTTGTCTGGCGGGCAAACATGGACGCAATCTGGTTCCCCTTGACGGGTGACTTGTTTACGCTGGTTTGTTTGTTCTCACCTTGTACGTCCTTCTTTGGGGAGGTCTTAGTCTGGTTAGGTTTGTACTTACTCTGAAGAGAGGAAAATGGATATAAAAAAAAAAGTAAAACAAGAAGCAAATACAATTGATTACTTAAAAAGGAAGAAGTCTTTTGAAATAAGATTTAGAGATGTCAAAATAATTTTTAAAGTTAGAAAAAAAATCATGTCTTATTTTCTTAAATCTAACAGAGTATTAAGTCTCAATAGCTGTGTTCATACCGGTATTTTAGTTGGTTCTGGAGGTGCCTGATAAGCATTCTGTTTTTGTAACTTTTCCAAATCTGCTGTTGATCTGACCTTTGCAGCTGTACACTCAATGCCACTATACCTGGAAATTTAATAAGGATTTTTGCCTTAAAATTAATCTACATTTTTTGTTCTCTTAAGTATAACTGAACATAAAGTCTAAAGGTGTGCTTATTATTATTTTTGTCCTCCAGTTAAAAAGGAAAATTTGCAATGCTTTTTGGAAAACTATAATCTAAGAGTCAAAGGAAACAAAAATATCATTCATGGCCCTGGTGACTTTGCAAGAAATTTAAAGAGGTTTTGACAACCCTTTTCAGTACATAAACCATATACAATTAATTAAAATGTATATAAATCATATAACAATAAAAAAATGCTTAAATTTCACAAATGTGTCATAAATGAAACTCAAACACAAGCTTAAATGTAAATACTATTGTTGTTTTGGAGAAAAGGAGGACATTTTTCTTGGACTAAAGTATCATTGTATCATGCAAAATAATTAAAGTTTTCTCACAAAACCTTAAATTTAAGGATTACTTCCATGGAAAAAAATAAATTGGGATAGATAAATAAGTATCTCTATATAGTAAACACTAATGCTAAAAGTATTTTAAGAAATAGACAATGTAGGGGCCTTCTACAAATATATGAAAAACTGCAGCTATAAATCAACATGTTAGAAAGAACCAACTTTCCAACAACTCACTTGTTAATACTCAAAACATTTTCTTTGACTTTATCATAATTTGCAGTATAAAGAACACTCATGTCAGGCAGCTTGGTCTTTTGCACACTGTAGACATGTACTGATATCACATCTTTCAATTTGGACTTTGCACTTGCCAAATTCTCCTCCCTAACCAACATAATCTGTCCAAAGATAAGCAAAATAAATTATCAAATTTCAATAAATGAAATAAACAAATAAATTCATACCTCAACCATGAATTTTACACTAACATTATTGACTTCATGATATATGAATTAATTTTCCTAATAGAAACAAATTAATTCATTACTTCAAGCAAACTTTGAAAAAAATAAGCAGGTATCAAAGCCAATATCAAACTAGAATAAGATCTGTATGTAATAAACTCTACTATTCACTTCCAAAGATACTAACTTACCTTATGCATATCAAGGGGACCATCTTTCCCTGCCTCTATTCCAGACACAAAATAAGTGACATTAAGATTGTCACCCTTGTCTGAATTCCGTTGCTTTGTGACAAAGTGGTAGAGCATTCTGAAATATAGTTCATATCAAAATAATATGCCAAACCAGCTTTTCAAAACAATACCTTTATAAAGATTTACATATACATATATATAATCAATAGGTAGTAGACAAATAGTTCATATACAATACAAAAAAAATATAGTTAACATACTGCTTTGCAACATTGCTTTGAACTCCAAGAGTCAAACTCAGCCATTTGTAGGTAACCTGTTTGAGAAAAAAATACATTGTTATAGCCAATTCTGTCTGAGACCCAAAAACTCGTAAAACCAACTTCTGATAAGGTCATTAAAAGATATTTGTTTTTTACCCATAAACTATTTGTGTCAAGGTCACACATAGTACACTTTTTCAATGTGTTCCTTTACAAATCTGCATTTCCAACCATATAAAGGTCTAATAAAAATAAAAAAGTTGATATGAAAAACTTGCTGGATTTTTACAAGGAGACTGTGCATAAATTCTTTCCTAATGCAGAGACAAAGTACATTATATTGGTTGATGTCAGAAAAATTATGCTACTTACCTCCTATGACCCAGATGTTGTGACTATCAAATCATAGAAAAAGTTGGCTGAGAGCCAGGGCGATGGGAACGAGCCGTCATGAGAATTTCGGCCGAAGGCCAGGGTGATGGGAATGATTCTCCATACGTGAACAAAGCTCATGGAGGGTGATTAGACTTAGTGGGCATTTAGGAAGGTGATCTTGCATTATTCCTATTGGTAAATGATTATGGAATATACCCTATCCATTAACTTCTGGATGCAGTATATCAGATGACAAATACAGACATTGGAAAATGGGGGGGGGGGGGGGGATTAAGCAGAAGAGTTAATAACATTGCAAAGGGAAGGCAAGGAGTTCTGAAACCACATGAACGTTCATGTGGGCCAGGCCTACAGGCCACACGTCTATGAGAGTGGCCACCCACGTACGTCTAATGTCCAGATTTTGGGCCACGTGCAGGTAGCTAAGTACCTAGATCCAAGGGGTTGATTATATAAAAGAATGTGTATATATATTTTTTTTAATCACAATATTTAATGTCTAAATATCTAATCCCCTCGTAAAAGTAAAATGAAATAGACAGGAGCACTTTGGATAACCTTATTGTTAATCAATATGAGCAATAGTGGTATATATAGCCACTATTATACAAAGTGGCATTTGCTCGTTTCTTGTTTTACTTACTTCTATTATATATACATTGCCAGCCCACACGTTCCCAACTCACATTAAAAAATATGAAAAATTCTTTATAACTAGGGGACTACTGTGGCTACTGGATCTGGGTGCTTTATAGTTCACACCTGGACCAAAATTTGGGCATTAGGCATTTCTGAGTGGCAACTCTCCCATGAGTGTGTTTTTTTAGGCCTAGCCCACACGAACACTCATGTGCAGTACTAACCCATTACTGCCAGGGAAAATGGGGTAAAGGCTGTGCTCATTTAATTTTTTTTTTGTGAAACATCTTTACACATAGATGGCTCTGCTAGTGCTTAGCCTTACCTGATTTCACCTTTTCTTGAATTGGCGGGAAAATGGATTTTTTAATAGTGCTATAAATATCGATGGTGTTGTTTTTATTATAAACATTATAATTATTGTTATAAATATTATAATTACTGTAATCTTATAAAGATTAGTAATAGTAAAATAAGATACCATAAAATATTTTCATAAATTAAAGAAAAGGGTAAACGGGCGAAACAGGCAGTACTCGTAATTGGCGCATTGGTGACTTAGTACAAGTGTAGCATCTACGTATAAAAACAATTAAACAAGTAAACGCACAGTGGGCATGGCATGGCATGCCCAATGGGTTAAGACTTCTTGCCTTCCCACTGTAATGTTCTCTTCCTACTGCTATTGCCATTTTCAAGGTCTATATTTATCATTTGTTATGCTTCATCAAAATGATAATAGACTATTTTCATTGAGCAGACTCTACAAGTCTACAACTCTGTGCAACAACAACAACAAAAGTAACATTGTCTCATCTCATTTGTAATTTTTTATTTTCATATTCAATTTCCTGTAACATACCCTGCAACATCTGTCACAGTGGACAGGAATAGGAACCTGAACATAGAAATAGTGTCCTCCCTGTATGTGGGGCACTTCTAGCCACGTGTCACAGAAGGGACATTCCACCCTAATTTGCCAGTGGAAATAAAGGGTGTAATCTTCCTCTAGTAACTGAGTTAACTGACAGTACATTCCTGTCATTCCTGCACTCAGGCAAATTTTCCCAAGATGATATATTCCCATCACCCAGCCTTCAGCCAATTTTTTTTCTTGACATGACAGTCATGTCACCAGGATCCAATGGATTAAGAATATGCAATTGCATTTTTTTTCAGCCATGAGTGAATTTCTCAGTAGAACATAAATTTGACTTATGCCTGTATTTTGACTATCTAAATGTTTAATATGATGAAACATATCTATCCCCATTTTTATTCATATATGAGGGATTATGGTGACAGCTGTCCACTCTCCAGAGACTGGTATTTGACAATGATATATGCAACTTCTAATAGGTGTGGATGATGGGTTTTACGGTCTTTTTTTTTTTTTTAGTATTTAATGATAGCTTTTTCAAATACTGGACTCTTAAAGGGTTAACCAACTGGCACCAAGTATGTGGACTGTCCATTATACTTGTTTTATTTGTTTCTTCCTATTATGATTATTATAGCTATTAACTTTCCTATTATCATTATTACTATTACTATTATGAATATCACAATTATCATCATTAGGTAATTCTTTACAGACCACAATTGCACGTTACAAACTCTATTCAACAATCTAAATTGCTGTGACTGGGTGCAGTAGGGGAGGGCTGATAAGAGCTCTGCCCCCCAACAGTGCCCAACAATCTTTGCCTTCACCTAAGTATGCTTGGCATGATATAGCTGAAATTAGGAAGCTGAAAGGGGACCTTTTTCCTTCATATGTGGCATAACCATTAGTGTCTGCTGATTATTTCTTGTATCAACAACCAATATTTTATCCTTCTACATAACTATCATCTTCAGTTTAACCTACTGTAAAGATTAACCCACCATTATTATTATTATTACATTATTAACAATAATGACAGCAATGAAAATAAAAACTTTTCAAAAATTTGAGAAAAGGGGAATAGATTACATTAAAGGGACCTAGTAATTAACCCTTTGAAGGCTACATGCTTCTGGAACCATTTAAGTGTTAACAAAGTCATTGAACCAAACTACAGCAAGCTTTCCATGCCTACTGAAAATGCTAGAATAAAAAGGATAATACAAATCATTTTTTTTTTTAGAAATATTCATAGATACATGAATCTCTGACAGCAGGGGAGGGCATGAAATGTAATGAGGAAATTGTGAGTGAACATATTAAATTTGAAAAAATTCTGAAGTCTGAGTCATTCATGATTGCAACAAAATCAACAAAATGCTTCTGATAACGAAGATAAAAGTTCTGATAGTGCAGATTTTAATACTAAAGATAAACCCTGGTAAACACTTGACGCCATCAAATTGTGTACGAGGTGATAATTTTTCTATTTCCACCAAACATCATCAAAAATACCTAACCAACTTCCATCCAGGCTGCAAATCAATCGAAATTCAATCATAGACATAAATAAGGATTATATAATAAACCATCGTTAGAAATCCGGTCCACATCCCCCCACCCCCCTACCTCCTACAAAACCCGTTCAAGCTCCCTCTTTTAACTCCCAGCCACTTAAATCTATACCACACTTCCTTCAAGAGTCCATCATAC